GTGTACTGTATGAATTGTAAGCCTTTGAAATGCTGATAGAGATGGCAGACTGTAGGTGTTGCCAATACTGTTGATCTAATTATAAGTTACTTTTCTAAGCACAAAACAAGATCAGAATGATAGAATAAATAACTACGTTGGTGAATATCTTCTACAGTTCAAATAGACAAAGCATTACAATTAGGCTGACATACATTCACTACCACAGGGAGCAGCTGAACAGATAATGTTGCATTTTAGGGGACTCTGGGTAAACACATAGAGGGGAAAAAAGAATAGAAGGAGTTGGTGAATAGGGTGAGGGAAGGCTGGTGTGGAGCTTAAAGTGACATGAATCAGAGGCTGAATTATTTGTTTCTGTGTTGTACTTGTTATGTAATTCTACATTTTAAAAAAAACTGTCACTAAACAAGCAGCTGACCTAATTTGTCTCCGTGGAATGTCCTGCTGGGTCAGTTACCCTGGCTGGATTCATCAGGTTGTAAATGGTACCCATCACAGCATAGGAAATGATCGCCTGTACTTTTAATTAATGTTAATTAAAAATAGAAACTTGTAATTATACATATATCACATTTATTAGATTTAGAAATGGAATCTCTATAATTAGTGTTTTGATCTCAACAAATAGGAACAGGAGTAGGCCATTCAGCCCCTTGAGCCTGTTGTAACATTCAATGAGACCATGGTTGGTCTGTGGCCATAGATCCAATGAAATACATCCGACGCCAGCAGGTGTTTTCGTGGTAGTCGATGTAGTAATGTGGGATATATTGGGACCTTTTTGTTTGTTGGGTTTAACTGCATTCAGATATTAATTACCCAAATCTCAGATTAATGAAATTATTGATGTCTATCAGAGCAGGAACGGGCTACAAGGCCATTGATCTTGCTCTGCCATTCGGCCAGATCATGGCTGATTTACAGAAGTGCTATTTTCCAGCTCTATCCCATAGCCCTTAATATTTTTAAAAATGTTGAAATCTATCCATCTCAATCTTGAACATACTCAATGATCCAGTCTCCACAGCTTTCTAGGATAGAAATTCCAATGATGCACTATCCACCAACGGACATGCACCAAGTTCCTCCCTATCTCAGTCCTAATTAGCCTTCCTCCTATATTGTCTTTTTGCCCTAGTTCTAGACTCTAACCAGCCTGCCAGCCCTCCTGAAAAACATCCTTTCAGCATATACCCCTTCATGCACTGTAAGAGTTTTGTATGCTTCAATGAGGTTGCCTTTCATTCTGTGAAACTCTGGAGAATACATACCCAGTATCCTCAATCCCTGTTCATAAGGCAGCAGTCCCAGAAATCAGTCAGATGAATCTTCATTGCACTACCTTTATTGTAAGTATATCCTTGCTTAGATAAGGAAACTAAAACTGCACTTGATACTCCAAAGTCAGTATCATCAAGGCTTTACAGAATTCAGCAAGACTCCTTTACACCTGCACTGAAATCCTTTTGTAATAAAGACCAATATATTATTTGCCTTCCTAAATGCTTACTGCACCTGTAGTCCACCAAGGTGGCTTTGGATTTTTCCCAATTTCTCACCATAGAATCCGTTTAGGTGGAACTAAGAAACTGAAAAGGGCAGGAAACATTGGAGGGTGTTATTTACAAGCGTGTGTAAGAATAGTAATACAGTAACCATTTGGGATTTCAGTGTACATTTAAACTAGTTGAACCTAATTAATATTAATATTGTGGAGGAAGAATTCTTGAAATGTATGAGATGATGGTTTTCTGGAGCAGGACATCGATGAACCAACTAAACTATTTTAAATCTAGTGTTGGACAATGAGAAAAAGTGCTCATTAATACTTTCATAGTAAAGGTGCCTTTAGGAAAAGATTGATTATAATGTATAATTTTGCATTAAGGTTGGAAATGAATATTTCGATCAGAAACTAGGGTCTTCAATCTAAAGGCAGCTACAAACATGGGCAAATTGGCTATAGAGAATTGGGAAACTAAGTTAAAGTGTATGCAGTAGATAGGCAATGGCTAAGATTTAAAATAAAACCAGTGCACAGTTTACAAGAAAAATATATCCTTTATTGTATAAAATCCAGCAAGGAAAGAGTTCCAACTGTGGCTAACAAAATAAATCATAGATTGTAGCAGATCAAAAGCAAGGCATGTAAAGGTGCTAAATTAAATAGTAAGCCTGAGACCTGGGAGGATTTTAGAATTCTGCAAAAGGAAGACCGAGAAAAATATTTGATAGGGTAAAATAAAATGAGTGTACAGTAGTGAGAAACATAAAAATAGACCGTGAAACCTTCTATTGGTACATTAAAAGGAAGAGATTAGCAAAACCAATTGTGGATCAGTTACAAGTGGAGTCCATATAATTTATGATGGGGAATAAGCAAAGTGGCAGAGAAACTAACAACTATTTTGATTTGGAATGGTTTCCATAGACTAAGATGTGGCAAATGTAACCCCGCTGTTTAAGAAGGGAGAGAGGGAAGGAAATACAGACCTGTAAACCTAACATCAGATCCTTTGATAAGTGATCTTTAATCAACTCCCAACGTATCCTGACTCTTGCTATTTCCTAGATGCACCCAGACACTTCAGTTCTTTCTATCTTAACATCCTTTATGTCCAATGAACTAGTCTCATCCTTTACTAACAGCTCTACCCTATCCTTTTCCTATCCTTCCTAAATGTCAAATGCCCTTGAACGTTCAGTTCCTAGCCTTGGTCACCATATCTTGTTCGTATGCTCCGTGCAGTCAGATAGAATGCCTTTAATTTGTATTTTATTTCCTTCTACATTGAGGGGAAGAAGTGATTGTTTTGGGACAAAGCTCCTTAATTCGGCAAAAGTTAAGAGGAGATTTACTGGAGGTGTTTAAGATCATAAATGGTTTAGTAGAGGAAAATGAGGAGAGGCTTCCAGTGGCTGAAGGATTGGTAACTGAAGGCTATAGATTTTAAGGTGATTTGCAAAAAAAAAAGTTAGGTTATGAAGCAAATTTTTTTTTACAGACCGAGTGGTTAGGATTTGGTTACTTTTTGAAGGAGCCAACTGGATTACTTTTTGAAGGAGCCAACACACAATTGATCAGCTGAATGGCCTCCCGTGTTGAACTATTCTATAATTTAATGCTGACCACTACCTGCTGTTCCTAATCACTAAAAGAAGAGATGGACCAAATAATTTTAATGTGATTACAAGGGGAAAGTGTGAAGTTTTGTGCCTCGAATACTGTTCTTCCTTCCTTCTCCCATTCCCAGTTTAAGAATATTTCAGGCTGTTTAAATTGTCTCTAGTGGAGTTTATTCTTACTAAATCTTGAGTAGAAATGTGACAATAGTATTTGCTTGAAAGCAAAAAACAAATACTCACTACTGCTTGCATTTTCTGGTACACCAATTCACCACAGAACCTGACTAACTGCTCTTTGACTTTATCAGGTGAGTTGATATAAAGTGGGACAGTGAGGGGGTAGAGGGGGCAACCTCACTGGCTCTTTGCTTGATATCAAGATGTCAAACCCAAAATTGGGATATCCTGTTCTGACGCCCTCAACAAGGGCTTTTGGGTGGAGTGATGTCAGAATGGCACCTGCTGTCAATGAACTACAAAGAACTGAGATACCCCCACACTTGAGGTGACTCTGATGCTTTTGAATATTTTAAATTCAGAAAACTTGCTTTACATTTTCAGTCCTGATCCTGGTAATATGCCTATCATCTTTAACAGTTTCACTCAAAGCACTCTCCTCTTCAGCTCAGGAAGTGGGCCTGTAGAGGTTTCATTTGATTTTTATTCCACAGGAATTTCGTTCCCTACTGGATTCTGTTTCTTCTTTCCAGACATCATTACTGATGCAGCAGGCAGAGAGGCTTTTGGACAGTTATCTCTGCATAATAGTGCTCTTTCCTTCGTGCCATGTAATGGTAAAGGAGTCTGACCTCTTCCTGACATGCAATGTCATACTGTTACTGCTGAACAAAGTTAATTAGTACTTCCTAAATTTGAAGTTGTTTTTCCTTTCTGATTCAAATGGATGGCAGTTAAGAATTACATTTAATGTAGATAATTCATTCTTCCTTTCTTCTTAAGCATCTCTCCTTTCCTCAAATGGTCATAGCTTATCCTTTGGACTCCAGGTATAAATCCTTTGAATAATCTTTCCCTTTTTGTAATTCATTCATGACTGGGGGTATCGCTGGCTAGGGCAGTTTTAATGCCTGTTCCATTTCTCGCGGAGAGATGGTGGTGAGCTGCCAACTTGAATTGCAGAAGGATGGAAGAGAAATATGGAATTTGACCCAGTAATAGTGAAGGAAACAAATCTAGTTCCAAGTCAGAGTGGTGTTTGGCTTGGAGGGGAGCTTGCAGATGGTGGTGTTCCAATGTATCTACTGCCCTCCAGGTGGTGGTGGTGAAGTTGTTGAAGGTCGTTCCTTTGTCATTTTCCTGCTTTTTTTCCAGACACCTTGCTTCAGGCCACTGCTTTCTTTCACAGGGAGGCTGAAATTAGCTGTTCTCATTCTAGATCATCCAGTTTTCCGTATCTAGGAAGGCTGTATAGCTGTTGGACCAAAAGACTGGGAGCTTCCAAGTTAGTAATATCGTGTGAAGCTAGTGGGATTGCTAGGGCTGACCCTGGAGATATTTCAAACCAAGGAACATTCTATAATAGTGAGACTAATGCTTGAGAATGCACACAAATGGGGATGCAAACGCAATAACAATAGAAGCCTTTGTGTTGATATCCTCATGATAATAGAATTTCAAGGAGATCATGGTTGTCTGTGTGTGTGTTGTTGATGCTGTACACAAATTGAGTGCCACATTTATCCACATTGCAATGACAACTTATTTAAAATTACTTAATTGACTGCATAGCTTTTTGGGGCATCCTGATGTCACGAAAGGTGCATCGAAATTATTAGATAATCTGTACAAAACACAACTCATCTTTCATGGTCATCTCTGAGCAGGAGAAATTCACTTCTCCACAAATCCTCACTGAACGTTCTCCCTGCACATCACCAGTATATTTTTTTGAAGGACTACTTTGACTGCAGAACTATGTTATCAACACAAATTGACCAGCATTAATTTGTGATTTTTAAATGACAGAAGATTAGATTTAGGTTTTTGTCTTGGTACCAACCAGAATGTGTTGCTGAAGTGATGAAAAGCATTAAAGAAATGCATTTTTTTCTTATTTGGTGCCATGCACACAGGATATTTGTTCCTGAACTTTTACGTTTTGAGCTACTCTGCAAGTTTTTTAATACTTGCATGTCATGATTGAAAGCATTATCTGACTTTTCTTAAGGAGTCGGCAGAGACTCCAAGAAGACTGAAGACATCATTGGGAATGACGAGTTTGGAGTATCTCACAAGATCATTTATCATTCAGCAGCTCTTGTCCTTGAGTTGACCTGCAAGAACTGGTTTTGATGGCAGCTGTTTAGTCAGCTACGCATTCAGCTTTTAACCAAAGGATAAATTAAGCCACGTCAGTGTGTTGGAGATGCTGCCACATGAACTTGCACCCCACTTTTGAGCCTACACAGTACTGCCTTTAGTGAGTCACGAAAGAGGGAATAATTAGTTTTGGAATTTGCAATGCTGAATTCACTGCTGGGTGAGTGGATTGCAAATAGCCAGGGTATCTTGGCTATTATGATCCAGAATACCTTTGTCTAAAATTGGCCTTTTCCAAGCTGTTACCCTCAGCTCAAGCAAACAGGTTCGTGTCAGGGCATTTCATACCTCCATTCACCATACACCCTCAAGCCCAATGAACAAAAGATTTGAGAGTCTCTCATTGTTTAGTATCTTGAGAAGGACATGCATATCCTCGTTGAAAGGACAAATAGTTCCTGTTTTCTCACTTGCATTTCTTGGATTATGTCGGATTTCCCAAAAGCAGTTAGTCAGGTGCATTTTGTGGTTAAAAACCCATCATGACTTTCTGATCTTTGTGGCGTTATCAGCATGCCCAAGTGATCTCTAATACATTAGCTTTTACATGCAATATAGATTACAACTATTTATAAAACATTGTTTCAATTTTAATAAAAGAAGAGCTAAACACTTTTTTTCTTCCTTTCTTCCCTTCTCTACCATTGAAGAAATGCTCAACTATGCACCCAGGCGATATCCCAGAGAATCTTATGAAGAAAGTACACAATACGATGGCCTTCCCTATGGTGACTATGAATCTCCATCTCACAGATCGGAGAGATGGAGGAATATGTCCAGTCAGGCAGAAATGCCTTCTGAAGACCGTAGAAGATATTATGATGATGCTTCCTATTCAGCTTCAGCAAGAGAGAATTTCTTGGATCACCATGAGAGAGACGACCGCCATTCACAGTATAACGATTTAAGGGGCCCTGTTGAACCCAGTGGGGATCCAGGGCTGTTTGGAAGATCAGTAAATTCCAATGACAGTCCTACCATGAGAGGATCTGGAATGTACAGAAGATCAGTGAGCCCTGTTGAGTCTAGAGATCGGTCAGGCTCATACAGAAGACAAACAAGCCCAAATAATTGGCAGTCTCAAAGTTCAGTTAATGACTCAAGAGATTACCAATTCTACAGGCGATCCCAAAGTCCCAGTAGCAGAGATGGTCTAAGTTTATACAATAGATCCCAAAACCCTATTGATACAACGGGACATGCAGAAGCACACAGGAGATCCTGGAGCCCTAGTAATGAGACCAGGGATCAAGGATCAGACCCTAGATCTAGAAGTCCTGTTAAGGCACCAGATGCAGAGTTATACAAGTTATTAAGTAATGTTATTGATAATGCTCGGCGTATGGCAGCTAGTAAAAATGATCCCTCACATACATCCTGGAGAGACCCATCCAGGGATTGCCCTCAAATGGATTCTTCTATTTATCAGTCCACTACATCCACAGATGGGTTCCATGCAGCTGAGGATTACAACCCTCGCTTGAACCAACGGAGTTCTGTTCGTAAAAACATAGAAACCTCCAGAAGAGGTCCTTCTTATCCTAAAGTGCCTCCTAAAAATGCAAAAGGACCTTTGCTTAAGCGTCCAAAGGTTCAAGGGCGACATGGCCTTCTGGGGAGGGCTCCGGGCCTTCTGGGGAGAGCCCCAGGCCTTCTTGGTACAGCCCCTGGCCTTCTAGGGGCTGCCCCTGGCCTTCTAGGAGCTGCCCCTGGCCTTCTAGGGACAGCTCCTGGCCTCCTAGGAACGGCCCCTGGTCTTCTAGGGACAGCCCCAGCTGGTTTAGTGGGGTCTTCTGTGTCCAGCATGCCAGTGAACACCTACGAAAATGTTTCCTCGGACTCTTCCGTTCATTTGTATTCATTGGGGAATATGTCCGCTCTAGGTAGCCAAATGGAACTGGGACAGCAAATCATAAAATGGGCTGGTTTTCACAGTGTTGCTGTTGACCATTCCACAAAAAAGAAGTTTGATCCCAATACAGACACCTATTCTAAAGTAGCAACAGCTTTCCAGTGCCTAATGGCAAAGCAACATCATGATATCTGTGATTCAACATTAGTAACACATTTAGGCCTCACATACCCTGTGATCGATAACTCTTTTGTATCTCTGTTGATAAGGAAGAATGTCATTACAAGTAGGTTAGAGTTGGATGATATTGTACATCAAGAAGAATCTCTTTTGCAGGAGATACAGAGCAAGCTGCTGGAATGCATAGGTCCGCTTCTTGTAGTAAGCAGTAACCATGAGCAGAGCTCTAAGTCGCAAAGTTCACAGGCCCCTAATGAAATTATGAGTGAGCTAGAGCATGCAGTCACAGCTTGCCGCCAATCAATGGTATTCATTGGGCAAATCTTTGCTTTTGTCAGCGAGGAAAGAAGGAAAAATCTGTTGCGCAAGACTGGGCTGATCTCAGTGGCTCCGAAGTATGATTATTTTGTGAACCTGGAAAGCAATCAGCTGTTTGGGAACAAATATATAAATGAGCTGAAGAACCGAGTGGAGCAAATCTACCTCCCTCCATTACATAGCCAGGTTTCTTGTTCCAGTAAGTTTGTGTCAAAAGTGGATGAACAATCAAAGAAAGATGCAGCAATCAAGCCTTCTAAAAGTAAGTACTCCAATTCATCTCTAACAGTTTGTAATATTTTACGATAGGTACACAACTTGAATTAAATTTGACAATACGGTATAATGTTCGTTCATTCATTCACATGTGATCTGCCCAAAGAAAGGTCCTTGTATCATTGTCTGCTGATCCTGATCCATTTTCTTGGCAGTTTTTGTCAGTGGCTATTTATCACCGCTTTCCCCTGCCAAGGGCAGAGTGAGGAAGCTGCTCTCAGATTATCTCAGCCAAAGTAGGAACTGAACCCCAGCTGTTGGAACTACATGCCAACCACTTGGGCAACTGGCCCTCACAATATATTGTAGCTGTTGTTAAAAGTCAATATTTCAAATGTCCAAAATTAGAAGATTATAAATTATTTTATTGAAGTGGCATTGATCAGACAAGACACTAGAACCACGGATGTCAATGAATTGAGGTTTCATTCTTTCTATGCCCAGTTGTTGGCCTGGCAGGTACCTAGTGTCTCTAGCAGTTGGCTATGTGGACACTCTTTCAGTAAGTGCCAGAGAGTGCATTTTGCACTTGTTGCCTTTGTGACAAGGCTGAATAACTGAGAAGTGAAATTGATATTTCAATTTAGCTGCAATCACAAAAAAAGCTGGAATGTTTTTCTTCCAGTTTCTGCTCTCCAGTTTATGCTGTTTATGCTGTCTTGAGATTCCAGTGTGGCCTCAGGTTAGCTCACCTCCTTCCACAGAGATGGTTTGAACTGTTGTGTTTTTTTAAGCTTCGTCTTTGGCAGATGCCAAAGCCAGCAAGCAGCCAGAAACGGGTTCTTCAGCACCAGATAACAGCGGTGGACAGAAGACTGCACCAACTAATGACAGTGACCAGAGCATGACAGAGAAAGATGCACCATCAACAGCTGGTGAGAGTGTCCACCCTCCCGAAGACTTGCAGGTCAAGACCATTATTGATAAACTGGCGATGTTTGTAGCAGAGAAGGGTGAAGCAGCAGAGAAAGCAGTCATCCAGCACAAGAAAGAGGACTTCAAATATGGGTAAGGACAACTACAGAACATAAGGCAAAAGCAAAATACCACAATGTTAGAAATCTGAAATAAAAACAAAAACATGTTGGAAATACTCAGTAGGTGAGGCAGCATCTGTGGAGAGTAAAACAAATTTAACTAATATGGATTTGCCTCCAACAGGATATATTTTCCTGATGTGGCAGTGCCCGTGTTATTCCTCATAACATAAGGAACTGTGTGTGCATAACATGGTGTTGAAGGATCCAACAGACATTTATTACAGCTCATGCATATACGTAGACGTTATATTCACAGCCAGTGTCCAGGTTAACATTAACCTACTAAACTACAACTGACGAGCACACTTCTAGAAGCATGCTATACTTCAGGGGATGTGAAATAAGATGCTGAGAGAGACTGTTAAACCCTTATGTCATATGCTATGATATATTGATAATACAGTGAGCATGTCTCTTAACTGTATTCTCACAGTGAAACATCATACAACATCCCTCTTTTTCCAAAGATTAAGGAATTATCTCAAACAGACACACATGGATATTTGTTGTCAATTCAGTAATAATACAAATGCATAAAATAAAGTTTATCAGACTAGCATTTCAAAATTTATTGTACTGCTTTGGAGGTTTTACACCACCCTCTGATCTGATTGTTTACCAATCTGGAGAGGTATGGGATGTTTTCTATTGTACTGGTTTGATGTCTTGGTTGTCTTGCTGCTGGTTGCTGTCGCTCAATATCATTGTTGGAGTTTTCTTTCTCGCTGTCTTTGTGCATGAATAGTGTGTCATTCATTTGTCTCAATAGGCTTTATTCCTTTGCAATATAGCATCATGATAAGTAACAAGCTTATATGATCTTGGCTGATTGCACATTTTAGAAACATTTGCTAGTACCAAGATATTTGTCTTTCGAACGTGCATTCTGTTCAGAGGGCAGTTTTGTTAGTTCTCTGCCTACTTACTCACCATATATCTCATTCATTCTCCTCTGTCTTTGAAGAAGAATATATATTGGAATAGTAAGACAATTGGTTGCAATAAGATTGTGTACACTTGCCTCCCGAGCACAAATTATGCTGTGTTGGTAACCCCTTCTCCATTGGTATCGCCCAAAAATGCCACAATGTAATGCAAAAATGTTGTATTGTACCCATAACACTTTCATGATCATATATTTGATGTATGTATTGTACGTTCTGCTAAACCAGTTGAGCATGCACGGTGAGGTGATGATGGGGTATGGGTCACTCTCATCATTTATACAGTTTGCCAATTTACTGTACAAAAGCAGAAGTTGCTGGAAATGCTCAGCAGGTCTGGCAGCATCTGTGAACAAAAATCACTGGACCCGAAACATTAACTCTGACTTTTCTTCACAGATGTTGCCAGACATGCTGAGCTTTTCCAGCAGCTTCTGCTTTTGTTCCTGATTTACAGCATCCACAGTTCTTTTGGCTTTATTTGCCGATTTACTGTGGTCAGTTGTTCAAAATTTTTTGCTCCAGGACACCAAGTAAAATGAAAATAACATGCACTATGTCAACGATGCTCAGGGGTGTCACATTGCTAAGTCATTAAAAGTTGGGAAATTTGGGGAAGTAATGGGTCACAAGGTTATAATCTTCCCTACGCAGTGAAAATAGTTCTGTTACTACTTTCATCCAAGGACTGCAGGGAACGTTGAATAGATGTAGTAGCTTTGTCTAGTGCTGGGGTCGGTAAATTTTCATGCTTCACATGCATGCATCCACAAGTCACTGAATATCCTGTTTCATTCCTGACCAGTACATAGATTCATGTGCCAACTGTCTTGTGAGTTCAACACCCATGTGTCCCCAGTGTAACATGGACATGGTACCTTGGCATAGTGCTTTTGGTATTAGGACTTGTTTGTCCTTGAAAATAACTTGCCATGATATATCAAGTTTATTTCTATTTAGCAAAAATGAACTGATCTTTTCAGCTACTTCTTTAATACTGTCAAGTCACCCTGTATAATAGTCTTTTGCTTCTCTTGTAGTTTCTTATATTCAGCAGTCGCCAACTGCTGACACTGACTCTGGCCTTTCGGAAAAATAACTCTTGAGAATGTCTCCAACTTCATAGCCTAGAGCATCAACATGTAGATCAAAAGGAATATCTTGGTTTGTGTGTATGTTGGGTAATCTGTTTTGGTGTGTCAGACGTAATCCGCCTGGTCCCCCTGTTTAAAGTCAGATGCTGCATCTTGATAATTAAAACCTGTAGATGTGGTGGTGCATTCGTTAGCAGTTTGCAGCCGATTCTGGTTGTTTATAATCTGTTTTAATGATGAATTTCTTGCCGAATAAGTATATGTGAAACCTTTACAATGCCAAATACTAGAATTAGTGTCGCTTGCTCTGTATTGGAATAGTTGGCCCTGTGCAGATGAGAAGGTTTTCAAATCAAAAAAAAATAGCTTTCTCATTCTACAGAGACATGCACCTCGGCTTTTTTGTAATGTGTCCACTTCAAGACTCGTGTCTTTCTTGGGGTTGTCGTATTGCAGTAGGCAAGATTTTGCTGAGAGAATCAAGGGTGTATAGGTGTTTGTCTTGTCACATGTAGGGGAAGTCTCTCAGCAGAGATGTCTGTTCGACAAGTTGAGAGGAAGTTTAAAAATCCAAGGAAACATTGCAGATCTTTTTATCCTGTGGGGTCAGCCTTTCTCAATCTAACCTGGATCAAGATGGATTCCATGGGTGGGAGTAAATGGACCTGAAAATCTAATCTGACTGATGATGGTGCTTTTAAATGCCAGGTATGTCATTACACATTCTTCAGTGGGTGAAGGTTCTGGTTGTGCAATGCCTTTGTCTTTGCTATCATGATCATGATATCAACAGCTACACAGAGACAACCAGATACATTTTCAGTAATTCTATCCCAGTGCTGTTGGAATATGTCTGAACAAACCTAGAGTCCAATCAACCATTGAAGACAGGACTGTCCAAATGGTGTCCTAAATGTTGTGAGCGCTTTGGATTCTTCTGCTAAATGGCATTGAAGTGTGGAGGCAAAGAACTCCTGCTGCAGTTACATGCCCTTGTCTGCCTTATCTGGGAGGAGGAGAGCATCCTGGGAGAGCTCCAAGATGCCACAGTCGTGACCATTTTCAAAAAAGGGAAAAAGTCCGACTGTAATAACTACAGGGAATCTCCCTGCTGTTGGCCATTGGAAAAGTCATCACCAAGGTCCTCCTCAACCATCTCCTCCCTGTGGCTGAGGATGTCCTCCCGGAATCGCACTGTGCCTTCCGACCATGGAGGGGCACAACGGACATGATTTTGACTACACAACAGCTGCAGGAGAAATACAGAGAAAAGAACCTACCCCTGTACATAGACTTCCTCAGCCTTACAAAGGCCTTTTGACAGTGTCAACCAGGAAGCATTATGGAGTGTCCTTCTCCGCTTTGGCTGCACCACAAAGTTTATCACTATCCTTCGCTTGCTCCGCACCAATGTGGAAGTCATGGTAGTGACAAATAGCTCCACTACCGACTCATTCCCTGCTCGGACAGATATCAAACAAGGATGTGTCATTGCCCCAACACTATTCTCGATCTACCTCATTGCAGTGCTTCACCCCAAGCAGGATAGATTAATTGAGGATTATCAGATCAGCCATGATCTCATTGAATGGCAGAGCAGTCTCGATGGACTGAATAGCCTACTCTGCTCTTATTGTCTTTTGGTTCATTTTTACCCACTGTGGGACAATAGCCTGACCAACAACCAGTAGGCCTGCAACTAATGAGTACAACCTTCCTAAGATCTTCAATCACATGGAAATGCAGAGTAAATTCAGTGGTGGTGTCACTAGATGCCCTGTCCATAAGTAAGTATTTGCCTTCCAAATCCTCTCTGGAGGCATTTGCTTTTTTTCACAAAATAAAGTGCAGTGCAATTTTTGTTTATTTCTTTTACTGGTTTTACTCCTCCTTCCTTTTGTTTTTCTATTTTATGCTTCTGTTTCCTTTCTATTTTTCTAAAATTTGCTCCTTCACTGGCCTTGGTCTCTTTAAAAACCACATGCTTGTGGTTTTAAAATTATAAGCGCTTATAATTTTAGGTTCCGCTTCTAAATTGAGGTATATGTGGAGAGATTATGCCAAGCGGGCTTTTTTTAATTTTTGCACTGATTTAATTATTTGAAATGTTTGAATTAACTATGAATCAACAGGTAAATCTCCTTAGTGTAGGAAAGCATTTTTGTAGTATTTTCAAGTGCTATTTCTTGTAGGAGAGCTATGTAGCTATACTGTCAGGATCGTTCAAATGCCACGTTTTTAAAATCAGAACTGCCTGCTCTTGATTTTATTTTCAGAGAGAGAGAACTCATTAATAAAAGTCTGTAGCATTTGATATTGATTGTATTGGTAACTTCAGCCTTTCAAGTTTTAAGGAAAGGGACTCTTGGAAATTTTTTGCATCCTGAATGAACTCTGATTTCTTTCAAAAGAAATTTGCTCTTTTTTCCAACTGATCAATGCCATATTGACAGATCTGCACAATTATCTGTCATCTCAGAAGCTGATGCAGCTATTAGTCTGATCTCTCTGATGTTTGGAGCTGTTGCCCAGTTGGTTTTCAATCACTTTCCAAATATCTGCACCGTTGTTAACTGATTTGGGTTTTGCCTCGAGCAGGGTCTCTTTACCTGATAGAAACATAGAAAATAGGAGGAAGTGTAGGCCATTTGGCCCTTTGAGCCTCATTCACCATTCAACTGATCATGACTGATCACCCAACTCAGTATCCTGTTCCCACTTTCTCCCTATACCCTTCGAACCCTTTAACCCTAAAAACTATATCTAACTCCTTCTCAAAAAACATTCAACGTTTTGGCCTCAACCAGTTTCTATGGCAGAGAATTACTACTCTCTGGATGAAGAAACTCCTCCTCATCTCAATCCTAAATGTATTTATATCCTTATACTATGATCCATGGTTCTGGACTCCCTGGTCATTGGGAACCTTCGTCCTGTGATTACCTTGTCTATTCCTGTTAGAATTTTATCAATTTATGATGCAGCAATGCTTATGTTATTCCTCGTAACATAAGGAAATGGATGTAGAGTTTGATAAATCCAACAGATGTTCAACTCACCTCATTAATATATTCAAATGTTACATTCCCAGGCGCACCAGTATCTGGGCTAACAGTAAACTATTAGATTACAGCTGAGGACCACAGTTCCAGTAGCATGTCATGCTTCAAATGATCCCATAATATACAAGATATAACAGTAGAATTGGGCCATCTGGCCCATCAAGCCTGCTTCACTATGCTCCCAAGTAAGATGGGACCTGCAATTTTTATGTCCTTTGGTCATATGCTCTGATCCAGTGATAATATGATGAGCTTGTCTCTTAAAGGTATACTGGCATGTGACTGTGAGTCAATACACAATATTAATGTTTCTGGTTAAGACCCTTCTGAGAACCATGCTACTGTTCTGATGATGGATCAAAGACCTGAAACCTCAACTGTTTTTCTCTGTACTGGTGTTGCTTCACCTGCTGAGTATTTCTAAAGTTCCAATTTTGATTAGAGAACATAAAAAGCAGCAAGAATGGCCCCTTTGAACCTGTTTCTGCCATTCAGTAAGATAATAGCTGAACATTGACTTTGACTGTATGTGTATTGAGTCCCTTGGTGCTCAACGATCTATTGATCTTAATCTTGAATGTACAGCACCCAACTAAGCATCCATAGTCATCTTGAATAGAGAATTCAATGATTTAAAACACTCTGAGACAAGAGAGTCTCACATCTAGAAAGTGTAACTTATCCAAACCATTTTGTTTTCTTTTTCCATGGAATGTGAGCACTGCTGGTAAAGCCAGCATTTGTTGCTCAAGTCTTTGCGTTTGAACCATGCAGCTTGCTTGGCTATTTCAAAAAGTAATTAAGAGTCAGCCTTATTATTGGGATTTTGCAGTTGCGTGTAGGTCAGATTAAAAGGTAAGGACGAAAAGTTTCCTTTCCTGAAGGACATTAGCTAACCAGATTTTCTTAAAATGGCAATTAATGATTATTTCATGGTACCATTATTAAGACTAGTTTACGATTCCAATTTGATCATTGAAGTTAAGTCTGGCCCAGAGAAGAGTGGGAAATGTAGAAAAGGGAGCTTTATTTACTAACATTTTTTTTAAAATGTCTATTTTAAAGATTTCTGCTTGACCCAAAAAGCAACGAGTACAAGTATTACAAGCAGAAAGTGGCACAGTTCTCTAAAGAAAACACCTGTCAGTCGGGCGTACCTGCTGCTGTTGAGAACAAAGGGTCAGAATGCAACACGTCCACGGACAACACATCCAGTGGTCTCCAAGTAGAGTTCCTGATGGAGGTTGAAAGTTCAGCAACTTGTTCGACTGCAGAAGAAGGTATGGATGACGTAACTATTGTAAGGTTAAGGCTAATCTGACTGTTGTAAAGAAAAACAAGATTTGCATTTATTTAATGCCTTTCAGAACATCCCAGAACACTTTGTAGCCAATGAACTACTTTTGAAGTGCCGTCACTGTTCTAATGTGGGAAACACAGCAACCAATTTGTTCACAGTAAACTCCCACAGACAACAATGTGATAATGACCAGATAAATTTTGTTTTTAGTAATCTTGATTGAAGAGTGAATGTCAGCTAAGACACCATAGGGCACATCCTGCTCTGCAAAATAGCACTGTGGGATCTTCGAAACGGCCTTAGTCTAATGTATTATCTCCCTCAGTACTGATGAAGGGTGTAAACCCAAAACATCGACTTTCCTGTTCCTCTAATGCTGCCTGACCTGCTATGTTCCTTCAGCTCCACACTGTATTGACTGCTGTAAAGTGTCAGCCTAGGAGTTTATGTTCAAGTCTCTGGAGGGAGACTCGAATCCACAACCTTCTGAATTGGGCAAGAGTAATAAACAGTGAACCACAACCAACACAAAGCTATGTTACAGTACGGTTGATTTATCTAATTTGGTGGCAGCATTTGGTGATGGATCCTTCTGAAGGGTCTTTGGATGCATAAGTTACATGAAGAGTGTTATATAGTACCAGTTATTTTGTCCTTTAGCTTTTGTCTATTCAGAGAATTTTAAATTAATTTTAAAAATCACTGGTCTGTTACACCAGATCTGACCTACATCTTGAGTCATTTAGTCACTTAAGTAAACTTAATTAAAGTGCCTGTGCATACTAATTAATCCATTTAATCAGCTGATTGCATGTCTAGCACAAACAACTAATTCTGCAATGGAGACCATCTGGGCTATACATCATTCTTATTTAAGGTTTCTGGAGAAGCAAATTACTGACCGGTGCTGAATCGAAACCTGACTCATTATTCAGATTACAAAGTAGAGAAGTTTTACTGGTCTGAGGAGAAAGAGCTCATGAAAGAAAACTGAAGTTCTTAAATAGGAATAAATAATTCAGTTTTTATATGACAATGTAGTCAACAATTATATGTTGATGTAATGCAGAATTCTGTGCACTGTCACATAAATGGAATAAGAGAACTGTCTGTTCACAAGGGCTATTTGGATTTGTAATTGTCTTAAGATACTGAGCTCTGAATTGTAACATCTTTTTGAGTCCATCAGCTTGAACAGCAAGGTGACATTGATTTTGCAAATAATGTCTGCAAAACAGTGCTATTTTTGCTGTAGGCTTAAAAACATCTTTAATGTCCATGTTTAAATATCATATTGTTTTTAGAAGTAAGTTATAAATCAGAACCCGGTCATCCAATGTTATCCTGAAGAACTGGAGGATGTAAGATTTTCTTTTCCCACCTTGTCTACCTTATATAGAAGGTCTCCCTCATCCTGAAGTTTGTTCCTTGAAGAGCAGACCACCCCCATGGCCTTGCCATGTGGCCAGTCTTGAAGTGTGTGCCTTAACACAGTGAAATGCCAGCAGGGTGCTAAACGGAGCAGAATTTTACAACCAAGACTCTCTACCTCTGTCAACATGCGCAACTTATATTAGGATTCCATTACCGCATTTGTATTTCTGATTCAGGTTATGGCTCATCTATACCTTTAGAGTCAGTTAGCCCTCCTTGTTACATGTGTGTGGTGTGAGGGGCTCCTTAATGAATTAGTTGGAGAAGTGTAGTTAAAAAAAATCAACAGCAAGTGACTTTGGTGCTCTTGCTGAGTGATTTGTGCTTTCTGAAACTAAGTTTGCTTTCTTTGTAGGTGATTCTCTCAGTGACACCAAGACAAAAACCACTGCGGAAAAACTGGCCAAGTTTGTGGCTGAATGTGGTCCAGACCTGGAAGAGATTGCCATCGAAAACAACCGGGATAATCCAACTTTTTGGTAAGAGTACAGAGACGGACTGTTTGCTGGCATGTTGGAGACATAAGAGTGTATGACGGGGTTCATCCCTAGAAACGGTGGGGTGAGGGAGGGGTGGTGTAACCTTAAACTGACCAATCCAAGAGTTGGATGGGCAGTGAGAGACAGTGTAACTTCAGTGCTGTTAAAATCTAGTGAATGGAACGATGGGCCAATTAGTTCAGCACAGCTGGTTTGCATGCTTTTTTTATCTAGAATTCGTTGAATCTTTTTGGAATATGCTGAAGTTGTGAAGAATGTTTTCTAATTGCTAATTTTTTTTAGACCAGAGTGAATGCTTTTAGTACAACTTCTCAGAATGCTTTACGAGAAGCAACTCTGTTTAAAAATAAATTTTAAAAGAACATGCACTTAAAACCTCAGGATGTGCCAAAGCAATTTATAGTCAACAAAATATTTTTGAAGTATAATCACTGTTGTAACGTAGGAAGTGAAGCAGCCACTATTGACACAGCAAGATCCAATAAATATCAAGGTAGTAAATGACCAAATAATCTGGTTTTGAGCAGTTGCTTGAGAGAATGCTGCTCTGTTGTAGATGCCATCTTTCAGATGAAACATTTAACCAGGGTCCCGTGTGTACTTGTGGAAATGGCCAACTCTTAGAAGAAGAGCTTGGTGAATACCCCCTTTGTCAATATACAAAAATAGGATTATCTGGTAATTAACACATTGCAATTCTTGCAATGTACAAAATGTCTGTTGAATTAACTATATTACAACAGGTAATGTACAACACTTCAAGGTTAATTTACAGCCTATAAAGAACTTTAGGATATTCTGAGGTTGAGATAGACATGATAAGTTGCTGTCCTCCAACAATGGACATGAGAGTACATGATGTCTGCAGCTTTTCACCATCCTCTTGCTCAGAACGGACATGCTGATTTTTGTTTTTGGAAGGCGAGATGATCTCAGTGGTTCTTGTGTGACTGCAGGTTTCTCTACGATGAGAATAGTTCTTACTACAAATACTATAAGGAGAAGGTGAAGGAATACAGCGGGATGATAGAGAAATCTGATACTTCCATGGATCCTGCACCGGAGGCAGCATCTTCGGGGCGTTCAGTTCTTCCGAGAAAACGGAAAGGCCTGACTTTGAAAGTGGGCATGCTGCCTCCCAAAAAAATCCGCCCAAAGGCTGCAACATCACCAGGTACACATTGACAAAGTGGAGCCAAACTGTTTACGTTTTACAAAGAAGTATAGATCATAGAATCATAGATCAGACGCAGTAGTTACCAAATCGGGGAGGTGATAGCCTAGTGGTAATACCACAAGACTACTAATCCAGAGACCCAGGTAATGTTCTGGGGATTTGGGTTTGAATCTCACCATGGTAGATGGAATTTGAATTCAGTAATAATCTGGAATTAAGAGTCTAATGATAGCCACGAAGTCATTGTTGATTGTCAGAAAAACCCATCTGGTTCACTAATGCACCTCAGGGGAGGAAACTGCTTTTGTTACCTGGTCTGGCCTACATGTGATTCCAGACCCACCAATTTTTTAAAAAACTATCTATCCATTGTGGTTTGTAATTTCCAGTTGATTTGGAAACAATTTACTTTTTGTCAACAACTTGCTGTCTCAGACCCACAGCTTTTAATGTTCAAAAATAAATTCTGTGAAAGTTCCTGGCAGGTCCCTTCCTCATATTCCACACTGAAGATCTCTTCAGTACCATGCTGAAGAATCAGCCTGCATTATTTAAACAAGTTTAGTCAAGTTTGAAGCAACTACCTTCTAGCCCAGATGCAATTAAGCTACCTGAGTCAAGCTTGACACATTTGCTCAAAACTGTGTAGCAAATAGGTTTGTTGTTTCAATATACTTGCAACCCATTTGGGTCAGTTTTAGTTTAGCAGCAGCAATTGCTCTCTAGTTTGAGTGGTTTTGACGCACATTGCTGTATATCTGATTGTGCAGTAGTGGCACCCAGAGGTTAAACAAGCAACATCCCCGAGACATTGACCAAATCTTGCCCTTCAAACATCTGTTTTCTTAATCGCTCCACAAGACATTAGTCTCACACTAAATGAAGTGAAGCTTGGTTTGAACAATTAACAAGCTTAATTTCACAGTTTGGTGAACATAGAGAGGAACAGATATAACTAGATTCACTTAAGATCGCTTAGCAAACTTTGTTATGTTATTTGATTATGTTATTTGAACAATATAGCTTCTCTGCATTCTGTCCTGTGTTCAAGAGCAGAATCTTTTCTCACCCCACCCTTCTCGCATTCTCTCTCATGCTCGCTCGCTCGCTCTCTCTTGCTCGCTCTCACTCACTGTCTCTCGCTCGCTCTCACTCACTGTCTCTCGCTTGCTCTCACTCACTGTCTCTCGCTCGCTCTCACTCACTGTCTCTCGCTCGCTCTTGCTCATTCTCTCACGCTCTCTTTCTCATGCTCTTCTCTCGCTGTCTCCTGTTTTTTTAAGATCTTTTGCTGTTTTGCTTCCCATGCAATGTTCTCATTTGGGAATATTTCTCTATGCCCCAAAACTTTGTCTGTTTTAGAAACATAGAAAATAGGAGTAGGAAGAGGTCATTTGGCCCTTCGACCCTAATCCACCACTCATTATGATCATAGCTGATCGTCTGTCTTAATAGCCTATTCCTGCTTTTCCTACATGACCTTTGATTCCTTCAGACCCAAAGGCTACATCCAGCTCCATCTTGAAATCATATGATGTTTTGGCCTCAACTGCTTTCCTTGGCAGCAAATTCCATAGGCTAACCACTTGCTGGGTGAAAAAAATCCTTCCACATCTCAGTCCTAAATGATTTACCCTTATTGTTAGACTGTGACCCCTGGTTCTTGACTCCAAGTCATTAGGAAAATTCTTCCTGCATCTATTTTGTCTAGTCCTATTACAGTTCTATAGATCTCTGTGAAACTGCGCCCCTCGCCCCCCCAACTCCTTTATACTTCTAGACTCTTTGCCACATGCAGACAGACATTAAAGGTTTTCAAATATATTTGCAAGAGATGCTTACTGATGACCCAGATAAAAAGTTATTGTTAAAAAGGTGGGAAGATGAGTGGCAAGGATGACACAGAGAGACTGCAGAAGAATATAAACAGGTTAAGTGAGTAGACAAAAACATGGTGTATAATGTGGGAAAATGTGAGGTTATGCACTTTGGTAGGAAGAATAGAGGAGCTGAATATTATTTAAACAGAGAGACTGCAGGAAGCTGTAGCACAGAGTGATTTGATGGCCCTTGTGCATCAATCACAAAAAGCTAGAATACAAGTTCAGCAGGCAAGTGGAATGTTGGCCTTTATATCAAAAAGAGAGGAGTATCAAAGTAGGGAAGTCTTACTAAAAATAGACAAGACTCTAGTTAGATCACACTAAATAAAAACCAAAAGAACTACAGATGCTGTAAATCAGGTACAAAAACAGAAGTTGCTGGAAAATCTCAGCAGGTTTAGCAGCATCTGTGAAGAAAAAAATCAAAGTTAATGTTTCGGGTCTGTTCTGAGGAAGGTCACCGGACCCAAAACATTAACTCTGATTTTTTCTTCGCAGATGCTGCCAGACCTGCTGAGATTTTCCATCAACTTCTGTTTTTGTACTAGCTAGATCACACCTTGATCACAGTCTCCTTGTGTAAAGGAAGCTATATTGGCAATGGAAGCAATTTAGAGAAGTTTCACTCGATTGATCCCTGGCATGAAGGTGGAGGCGAAGTTTAGTAGATTTGGCCCAACATTCTCCCTGAGCTGCCTGGCTCCAATGTTCCATGCATGACAATCATGGTATTGACTTTTGGTCCAGAATTCCCTGTTGTGTATGGGCCTTGGAGGTCAGCATAGCTTGCTAAAACAAAGTTAGAGAGTCACTGGTTGGGCCTGTACTCACTGAAGTTTAGAAGAATGAGAGGCAAGCTTATTGAACTTTTAAACTACTTTGGGGGCTTCACCGGGTAGAAGCTGTGAGATTCTTTCTCCTAAATGGAGAGTTTAGGACCAGAGGGCATAATCTCACATGAAGGATTTCTTTAGCGCAGAAGGCTGTCAATGTTGGGTTGTTATGTATATTCAAGGCTGAGACAGACAGATTTTTAATCAGTAAGGGAATTAAGGGTTATGGGGAAAAGGCATGAAACTGGAGTTGATGATGATCAGATCAGCCATGATCTCATTGAATGGCAGATCACACACAATGGGCTACAATAGGGTACTTTAGCACTGACATCTTTCTGGTCTCAATGTGGCATCTGTATGAAAAATAGTTTCTGAATATCCTTCTAATAGGAACTGTCTGAAAAAGTTAACCCTTTTGAAGCAAGCTCAAATTTAAAAAGCTCTTTAATTTTAAATACCTACTATCTAAAGCCACAGTGAAAAGTTATACAAAAGACAAAGTAGTAACCTAGAAAGCTGACTTGTCATTTCGGCTGTGAGACTGTCATTCTCCTTTCATTTGTTGCTAAAGTAACAAACAGAAATCACTAATAAATTTGTGCTGTCATTTCAGTCCGAGAGTTAAAGAGAATTGGTTATGACAAACCAACGTACAAACCGAAGAAAAAGACGGTAAGATTGCAAACCAACAGGTATGACCCCACACTGGCCCATCTGTATTGCCATTTATCAATTCTAATGTCACGTTCCCAAACAAATATCCATCCTGGGCTTTTTCTTAAGGCATCAATTCAGTTATTAATTGTTTTATCTTCACTAGCTGGATGTTCAAGTGCTTGCTGCTCAAATGCAGGAAAATAAGTGAAAAAAAAATTACACAATTTCTCCCAAACTCCTGCAACTGTCAGACGTGAATTGATGGGCAGCATTCTCTTGCCTCTCCATGCCATGGTTTCCAGCCTCATTCTAGAGATTTGAGCCCCATAATTCAGGTAGGCACTTGCAGAGGTGCTTTCTGTTGGGTGAGACATTACATTGAGGCTTCATAATTCTTCAGGTGCATGCAAAACATCCCATAACATTATTTCTGCAAAAGAGTAGGAAAGTTCTCCACAGTGTTCAGAAATGTAACAGTTTATACAGTCATGCAGTACAAAAACAGACCCTTCAGTCCAACCAGTCTGTGCCGTAATCTCAAATTAAGCTAGTCCCACCTGCCTGCACTTGGCCCATATCTCTCCAAATATTTCTTATTCATGTACTTATCCAAATGTCTTTTAAACATTGTAACATTACCTGCATCCGCCACTTCCTCTGGAAGTTCATTCCACACACTAACCACACTCTGTAAAAAATTGCCCCTCATGTCTTTCACCTCTCACCTGAAAAATATACCCCATAGTCTTTAAATCCCCCACCCTATACCCCTCATTATTTTATAAACCTCTATAAGTCACCTCTCAACCTCCTACGCTCCCATGAAAAAAGTCCCAGCCTATCCAGCCTCTCCTTACAACTCAAACCCTCCATTTCTGGCAATATCCTAGTAAATCTCTTCTGAAACTTTACCAGCTTAATAATATCCTTTCTATAAATGGTTGAACAGAACTGAACACCCTGCTCCAGAAGAGGCATCACCAATGTCCTGTACAACCTCAACATAATGTCCCAGTTCCTATACTTAAAGGTCTGAGCAATGAAGGCAAACATGCTAAGTGCCTTCTTAACCACCATATTCATATGTGATGCAAACTCCAAAGAATTATGTACCTCAACCCCTAGGTGTCTCTGTTCTACAACACTACCTAAGGCCCTACTTTTAATTGTATAAGTCCTGCCCTTGCTTGTTTTACCAAAATGCAATACCTTGCATTTATCCAAATTAAACTCCATCCACCACTCCTCAGCCCATTGACCCAATTGTTCAAGATCTCTTTGTAATCTTAGATATCCTTCTTCACTGTCCACTATACCACCCATTTTGGTATCAGCTACAAACTTACTAACCATGTCTTCTATATTGTCATTTAACTCATTTATATAAATGACAAACAGAAGTATACCCCACACTAATTCCTGTGGAACACCACTCCTCACAGGCCTCCAGTCTGAAAAACAACCCTCCACCATCACACTCTGTCTCCTGCTGTTAAGCCAATTTTGTATCCAATTGGCAAGCTCACCGTGACTCACATGATCTAACTTTACTAAGTAGTCTAGCAGGGAGGCAATGGCCTGGTGGTATCATTGCTAGACTAATAATCAGAAACCCAGGTGATGTTCTGGGGACCCGGGTTTGAATTCTGCCACGGCAGATAAAAGTCTGCAATTAAGAATCTAATGATGACTGTGAAACCGTTGCCAATTGTCCGAAAAATCCATCTGGTTCACTTTAGGGAAGGAAACTGCCATTCTTACCAGGTCTGGTGTACATGTGATTCCAGAACCACTGCAATATGGTTGACTCTTACCTGCCCTCTGGACAATTAGGAATGGGCAATAAATGCTGGCCTAGCCAGGGATACCCACATCCTGTGAATGAATAAAAATAAAAATGTGGAACCTTGTCAAAGGTTTTACTAAAGACCAAGTAAACAGTGTCTACTGCCCTGCCCTCATCAATCTTCTTGGTTACTTCCTCTAAAATACCCAATTAAACTCAGAATCACCTTGTTTGTTTGTTGATCTGATCACTAATTGTGGTGAGTTAGGGTTTGTGTGTTCCAATCTTACTCCAGAGATCAGAGCCCAGAATCAAAATTGACATTTCCAGTGCTTACGCATGCAGGGTGTATCTACAGTCTGCTGGCCAATATCTATTCATAAACCAAATCAACTCTCAGTGAACACTCCAACAGAGTCATCAAATGTTAGTCAGAAGAAGGTAGATTATCTGATTTCCAGCCAGGCCTGGAAAGCAGAGAGAACTTGTCCACCTATACAAAGATCAGCAAACACAGGACGTCTAGAGAACAAACTAGAAACCTTCTGACTGCACTCTGCACTGGATGGTTTCTTTACCCCACCAGTCTTTGAAGGTTGATGACACTGGCTCAAAGTGATTCATTGTTGAGGATACAAAAGGATTATTCTCAGCAAATGCGTTTTCTTTTTCAGAAAAGTGAGGATCTAAATTACACTAAAAATAAGCTGGCAGTGGACAACGTTGGGTACAAGATGCTGCAGAGGATGGGCTGGAAGGATGGTGAGGGACTGGGCTCAGAAAAGCAGGGAATCAGAGACCCAGTCAACAGGTATGAAACAGGAAAGAGGGGGATTGGGCTGGATTTGATATTGCTGCTTACATTCGCCAAAACACCTAGCATGCAGATTTTTCCCTGTGCTAAATTAAACATGCAAATGTCACTCTTTTTAATGAGGTCAGGGTATTTTTCCCTCATTCAATGGGAAATTAGTATTGTTCACTTCAGTGATGCATGACAGTAGGCAGGCCACATATACTGGAGCAATTTGCACCATATGACACGTGTTACTATACTAGTGGGAACAGGTCTGTTGCAGTATAACACTGGAGTACAGTACTGGTAGGGACAGGTCTGTCACTGTATAACACGGGGGTACTGTACTGGTGGGGACAGGTCTGTATCTGTATAACACTGGGCTACAGTACTGGGGGAGACAGGTCTGTCACTGTATAACACTGGGGTACAGTACTGTTTGGGACAGGCCTGTCACTGTATGACACTGGCGTACAGTACTGGTGGGGACAGGTCTGTCACTGTATAACATGGGGTATAGTACTGGTGGGGACAGGTCTGTCACTGTATGACACTGGGGTACAGTACTAGTGGGGGCAGGTCTGTTACTATAGCACTAGGGTACAATATTGGTGGATGCAGATCTGCCCCCTGAGGTGGTAGAGATGGAAGCAACTTCAAGGGACCTATGAGAGAGATAGTAAGACCTGCAGATGCTAGAGTCAGAGATAACACACTGTGGAGCTGGAGGAATACAGCAGGCCAGGCAGCATCAGAGGAACAGAAAAGCTGTTGTTTCAGGTTGGGACCCTTCTTCCGAAAGGGGTCTATATTGCCTTGCACAGCCTTAACCTGTGTTAGTTCCAGCACTTTGGTTACATTCGATAATGTATTGGCATCAATGTGTTAAGTAAACTCTCTAATACTGCAAACTTTACGAAGTTATCCTCTTTTCTCCATAGAGGTGTGACATCGACAGACAGGTCTGGGCTAGGAGTCGGCGTCACTGCAGAAAAGGATGAGGTGGATAATGAGTTTGCAATTTTCCGTAAACGGATGATGGTGGCATTCAGATCCAAGCTGCTGTCTAAATCCTAGGTAAGCATGTCATTGATCTGCAAAGCTGATCTTCTATAATCTGTTTGGAAGCTGGAAAACCATCAAGCATTGTTAGTCAGGTGCTGAGAGGTTAAGGATGACTTGTATTTGTAAAGCTTATCAGAGATCTTGGGGAAAGTCCCAAAGTGCTTTACATGCATTCATCAGATTTATAGCACAGAACCATTAGGGGAGATGGTGGTATCTTGGTAATATTCTGGGGCTGAAATTTGAATTCAATAAAAGTTGGAATTAAAAGCTAGTCAAATGATGGAGAGCATGAGCGTTGTTCAGTGTTGTAAAATCCTTTGGGTACACTAATGGCCTTTTGGGAAGGAAATCTTGCCTGGTCTGGCTTACATGCACCTCCAGACCCATAACAATGTGGTTGACTTTTAACTTCTCTCTGAAATTACTTCACAAGCCAAATAGTTCAACGGAGACTAAGGATTGGTCAGCCTTACCAGCAACACCAACATCCCATAAAAGAATTAAGAAAAATATTGAGCATAATTGATCCATGGCAATGGCCCACACAAGTCACCTTCTACTGTTTCATATCTAGCCCTGTCTGTTATCATTAAATACGGTTTGTAGGAATGCCTAAGACCTAACGGAATGAGTGAACAGGTGTGAACATATTAATTGAGTTAATTGGGTTTGAACTGGTTGTCTAAATATGGGGAGTTAGTAATCAATGTTGTGAGAGTTTTATGGAGGGTGACGAATGGAAATAAATCTCTCCCACAAACGTATGGACTTGAATTCTGCTTAAATACAGTTATATTTTGGAGTATGATGCAACAGCATAATCTATTAATATGTCTTTGTCCCATGTTTATCCACCTTTCCCTTAAATTAATTTCCTTTACTGGTAATTGACAGTAGTGAGATCCACGTTCTGACATTTTCTAGGTAAAGTTTCTTTTGAATTTACTGTTAGATTGATTAGAAGCCATATTATATTGACTGTATTAATGGTGGAGTGAAGACATCAGCTGGATATAATATCTGTTCCATGGACTGAGGATGGTGCAAACCAAAACAGAATTTCCATTCCTGATCACTGTCCAACAATTCCCTGTATAAAAGTCTATTTATGTTTAAGTATCCGGTGAACACCTTTTGAGCTTGGCTGTGGTGTCCTCTTTGTTTGTATAATCTGCGAACAAGCCGAGTGAGACACCAGGGACAGTTGACTCTTCATAGACAGACCTGTAACCCAGTGAAAGTCAGCTCCTTCAGGAGAGGAGGTGAAGAATAACATATTTTCTATAGAAAATTTGCTCAGTGAAACTCTGATGTGATGCCTTAATAGTTAAAGACCCACTACCACATTGTGTCGTTGATGAATGGCCACAGGGGGCAAAATACTGGGAAAGCAAGTTTGTATCTGAGCTTCAAGGTCAGAAATCACACGACACCAGGTTATAGTCCAACAGATTTATTTGAAGACACAAGCTTTCAGAGTCTTACTCCTCCTTTAGGTGTTAGTGAGAGAGGTAGTATCAGACACAGAACTTACAAGTAAAAGATCAAAGGGTCACACCACTGATGAGGATGTACTAAACAAACCTAAGATGGCGTTAAGTCTTTAATCAGTTAGAAGGTTTTAATTGATTAATATGTATATGTAAATCCCTGTCTCATACACACTGTCTCTGAAGCACACACGCACACTCTGTCTCTCTCCTCTCTCACACGCACACTCTCCCACACACACACACTTTCTCTCTCCACACACATGCACACACACACACACTCTCTCTCTCTCTCGCCCTCTCCCTCACACACACGCACGCTCTCTATACACATACACACACTGCCTCTTTCGCACACACTCACTCTCCCTTTCTCACACACACACGCTCCCTGTCTCGCTCTCTCTCTCACACTCTCTCACACACACACACACACTCTGTCACTCTCCCTCTCTCTCACACACACACACACACACACTCTCACTCTCCCTCTCTCACTCTCCGTCTCTCACACACACACTCTCCTTCTCCCTCTCTCTCACACACACTCACACACACACACACACACACACACTCTCTCTCTCTCACACACACACCCTCTCACTCTCCCTTTCTCTCTCACACACTCACACGCACACACTCCCTCTCTGTCTCTCTCTCTCGCCCTCCCTAACACACACACACACACTCTCTATACACATACACACACTGCTTCTCTCACACAAACGCACACACTCACTCTCCCTCTCTCACACACACACTCTCTCTCCCTCTCTCTCTCACACACACACTCTCGCTCTCCCTCTCTCACACACTCTCACTCTCACTCTCCCTCTCTCACACACTCTCACTCTCCCTCTCTCTCTCACACACACACACTCACTCTCCCTCTCTCTCACACACACTCTCCCTCCCTCTCTCTCTCTCACACACACACACACTCCCTCTCTCACACACACACACCCTCTCACTCTCCCTTTCTCTCACACACTCTCCCTCTCCCTTTCACACACACACTCTCACTCTCCCTCTCTCTTACACACACTCTCCCTCCCTCCCCCTCCCCCTCTCTCTCTCTCTCTCGTCCTATCCCTCACCCACACGCACACATTCTCTATACACATACACACACTGCCTCTCTTACACACATACACCATCTCACTCTCCCTCTCTCTCACACACACACACACTCCCTCTCTCTCACACACACACACACTCCTCTCTCACACACACACACCCTCTCACTCTCCCTTTCTCTCACACACACACTCACTCTCCCTTTCTCTCACACACACACTCCCTCTCCCTCTCTCTCTCACACACACACTCTCACTCTCCCTGTCTGTCACACACACTCTCCCTCTCTCACACACACACACACTGTCACTCTCCCTCTCTCTCTCACACACTCGCTCACTCTCTCTCACACACACACACTCACATTCTCCCTCTCCCTCTTCCTCACAAACACACACACTCACACATACACACACACATGAATCTATGGGGTGAATTTGTATTTGCAGATACATTCTATTTTGCTCAAAAAGCACACAATTTATAGACAGTCAACATGGCATTTTATAAATTCTTACTTTAGAAATATAACCAGTCTGACTCCAAACCAAAACACAAACAAATTCCAAACAAGACCTCACACCTAACGTGCATTGTCTGACCTAAAATGTCACCTCCTCTTTACACTGATAAAACCTTTAGTTCTCTCAAGACAATGACTTCAAAGGAATTCAGGGATTTACGTATACATATTAATCAATTAAAACCTTCTAACTGGTTAAAGATTTAACAGCATCTCAGGTTTGTTTAATACATCCTGATCAGTGGTGTAACCCTTTGATCTTTTATTTATAAATTCTGTGTCTGATACCACCTCACTAACACCTGAAGAAGGAGTGAAGCTGAGAAAGCTTGTGTTTTCAAATAAACCCTTTGGACTACAACCTGGTGCCATGTGATTTCTGACCTTGTCCACCCCAGTCCAACACCGGCATCTCCACATCATATCTGAGCTTCAGTGAGAGCCAGCCTCATCAGGAGAGGAGGAAAACAAACTGAGGCGGTCAAAAGTGTGGATTTGACGAATTCCAGGGAAATAATGCCATTTGATTGATCTTTCAGGTTAATCTTGGGTGTGTGATGCTGGGAGTTGCTGAAAGTGGAGGATGGTCTTCATGGCACAAGCAGAGAAGATTTGAGGCCATAAGAAGTGAAGTGACCTGAAAATGCAGAATATTTAAAATGGAAGCTATCCAGTGGAGGAATGAATGATGGAGCACATTATACCTAGTAACCTAGTAACTTGCTATACTTGGTAACTTACTGTACATGGTAACCTGACCACACATAACAACAAAATCCAGACCTCTGATTGGATAAGTTAGAATATCCAATCATTTAGCTGGAACCAAATGTTTGTGTATCTGGTTGGCCAACCCAGGTGTATACATTTGATCCTTTTCATGTCAGAGGATGAACAGTTATAGGAAATCAGTAATGCACTTGTTTAATTTTCATCTTTTTTTACAATGTGTCTTAACGTATTCTCCATTTTAGGTGTCATTATTTTCTGTAGCAATTTGATTAGCCTTTCCCCAGTGCTTGCTTAATCTTTCTCTCTCTCTCTCTCTCACTCTCTCTTTCTGTCTCTCACGTTCTCTCTCTCTCTGTCTCTCTTTCTGTCCCTCACGTTCTCTCTTTCTCTCTTTCTCTGTCTCTATATATTTATATATATATAACCCAGTTTCAGGGGTAATACCTTGAATGTTGCTTTCGCACGCCCTGGTATTAGGTAAGTATCTGTCATAGTTGCCTCTTCAGTGATTTGCAAGTGGAGCATTGGTGTCTGCCCAAACCACATTCTTGCAGACTGCAAATGGAAACTCTCCTTGTATCGTGACATTTCATAAAATACAACCAGCCATTACCAAACTAAGTATTAATCTAGGGACAGTCTACATCACTTATTTTTTTGTTTCTGGGGACAGTCTCACACCATCACAGGCAGAAAAACATATAATGGAGCACGAGGGGAGAAAATTATTCATTTGTTCCAACAGCTGAAAGAAGCTGTGTTGAATGAGAGTTTTGACAAGAGATGATTGAGTGTTGGTATTGACATTGCTGGGTAAGATTTGTAGGGAAACCATTAACACATTTATAGAGTTAACATTTCCAGCATTGCCACACATTGCAGTCTTGCCCTTCACAATGCCAACAATTCCACAAGATTCTGCTGACCTTCAAATTGCACTGGCCCTATTACTGTAATGTGTGCCCTGATCCAATTGGGCAATGGTACAGGCATGCAAGGATAATCCTACAGAGGGTGCACAGTTGGGGTAAGGACGGATTCTCATTTAACCAGCTGTATGGCCTTGGTAAGGTGTATGTGGGTGAGATGACAGCACTAGACTGAAAATGCATCAAGAGCCTGGTAGGGAGACACACAGCCCTGATGAAAACGTTTTATAGAGCTGCAAATTGTAAACAGTATTGTAGCAAAAGTGCTTGTTCGAATTCCTGTGTTTCTGTGCTGTTCTCTTGACTTAGCTGTCGTGTTTGTCGTGTTATTTATATCAGTAGTCAAACATTGTGAGATTTTGCTGAATTATTTCGTGTTGCTTCACTTAACTCAGTCACTGTGCTTGCTGTGGTGGCATCATTTACTGCTGAGTTAACCTACTCTGCACAGCTGTACTGAAGGTGCCACCAGAGTGTTGTCAACCTTTGGGTAGTGAAAGAGTTAAAGAGAGTAACCATTTCTTACAGATGCAAAATTTATAATCTGGATATACTGAAAAAAAAATAAAGCAAGTGTGCTGAAAACTTGTCTCGCTCTCACAGTGTGATAATTGCATACCCTTCCACTATGTTTACTGCCATTTTTTGCACAAGTTCATACACACGCACACGCATACACGTACATACAGTACCTGCATACATATATATTATTCATAGAGCAGGGAGATGAATGATCAGCTGTCTTGGTGTTATGTAGGTATAGAATGTTGATTCCTGGTCCTGCCCCCCTGGACAGTGCAGCCCTCATGCAAAGACAACCAGGATTATGTCCAGTATCCCTGAAGTGCACAAACAGGGCACAGCTATGATTGAGAGTTTGGGGAGAGGGGTGGGCAGCTGACAGGCTTGTAATCAGAAATTGGCCAACTTAGTACCCAGAAGAAAGCATTCTAGCAATGAATCGAGCAGCCAGAACGTGGGGGAGGCTTGGCATTGCCTCAAACATTCCTATTTTCTTTTATTTTTCTAAGCTGCTTCTAAATGCCCTCACCCCCCCTCGTCATTTTGTTCCTTTGGGTGCTTTCCATTCTCTGTTTCTTTTCTCCCCTTGTGCCTTTTTATTAGAAACATTTACTTCAAAATCTTACCATAAAGGCGTTGTTTTTACAAAGGTATTTTGTGTTTTAATTATATTGAACATACATTGAGAAAAGCAGCTTATTGGGGACATTTCATCCTTAACCCACTTGTTTCTGCCACAGCAGAGAGCAGCACAGCTACTCTCACAAGTGTCTAACATCGTGGAACCCTGACCCTGCACACCACACTGAATGTATTCCTGCCACAACCCTCGGGAGAAAGAGTGCTTCAAAGAGCCAAATCCTTGTACAACATTAAGGTGCTAATGTAAAACAGAGTGATCAAACTGTGGGTTATAACCCTGTTTCACAATTGTTTGCTGTCAATCTCAGGCTATAATGGCAGATGTGGAGTAGAGACTAGCGGGTAACCCTGCAACCACCTCCAAGGCTCCGTACATGATATGTGCACCTGATTTCCTCATTTGTTTTCCTGTTTATTGGGAATTGATTGGGGGAAATAAGATCATTAGACGTAGGAGCAGAAGTAGACCATTCATCCCACTGAGTCTGCTCTGCCGTTCAATGAGATTGTGTCTGATCTTATAATCCTCAACTCCATTTTCCTGTCTTTTCCCAATAACCCTTGATTCCCCTTACTGATCAAAAATCTATCTTGACCTTGAATATACTCAAAGACCTAGCCTTGACAGCCCTCTGTGATAAAGAATTCCACAAATTCACTCCCCTCTGAGAGAAGAAATTACTCCTCATCTCTGTCTTAAATGGGTGACACCTTACCAGATGATGCCATCTGGTTTTGACTGTCCCACAAGGGGAAACAACCTTTGGTCATGAATACAGTGATGCTGTCATAAATCATCTGGCATGTTAGTGGATATTGCATAGACTAATACTTAGTCCATGAAGTTTACTTTGTGTCTGAGGGTCTTGATGTTGCTGGAATAATCTGTATTCTCCTTCCACAGGGAGTGCAGGGAACTGGCTGCCTGTCTAATTTGAGGTTCTGAAAAGTTGTGTCAAAGAATCTTGGCCTATTTCATTACCAAATAGTCACAGAGTTATGCAGTACAGAAACAGACTCGGTCTAACTTGTCCATGCTGACCAGGTTTCCCAAATTAAACTAGTCTCACTTGCCTGTGTTTGGCCCATATCCCTCTAAGTCTTTTCTATTCATGTACCTATCCAAATGTCTTTTAAATATTGTAACTGTACCTGCATCTACCACTTCCTCTGTCAGTTCATTCCATGTACGAATCACCCTCTCTGAAAAAGGTGCACCTCTGGTCCCTTTCATAGCTTTCTCCTCTCACCTTAAAAATATGTAGTCTGGTATTGAACCTCCCTACACTAGGAAACGACCTTTGCTATTCACCTTATCTATGCCCCCTCTTGCTTTTATAAACCTCTATAACGTCACCCCCTCAGCCTCCTATGCTCCAGTGAAAAAAGTCCCAGCCTCTCCTTGAAACCCTCAAACCCTCCAGTCCTGGTAACATCTTTGTAAATCGTTTCTGCACCCTGTCCAATTTAATAATATCCTTCCTATAGCTGGGCAACCAGAACACTACACAGTACTCCAGAAGTGGTCTCACCAACATTCTGTACAACCACAAGACTTTGCAACTCCTATACTCAATGCAGTGATCAAGAAGGCAAGTGTGCCAAAGGTCATCTTCACCACTGTCTATCTGCAATGCAACTTTCAAGGAACTATGTACCTGAACCTCTAGGTCTCTCTCTGTTCAACAACACTCTACAGGGCCCTACCATTAATTATTATAAGTCCTGCCCCTGCTCGTCTTACCAAATGCAACACCTCGCATTTATCCAAATTAAAGTAGGATGCAAGAGTCCGGTAGATATTTCTGAACATTTAAGAATGTTATAAGGCAGGGCTTCCCAAGGTGGAAGTCAACCCCCAAATTAGCTGCCAGAGAACTTCAACAGATTTGTAACAGCAGTAACCACCCTCGCCCTACACACACACACACATCAATTGTCAAACAGGAATGACATTCGGGAAGCATTGGATTAAAGCCTGGGAGATCCACATGCTACCCCCATCCCCATGCCCAAATAAACCCAACCCGAGTGCTTGTGGGAGCCTGTTCTAGCAGAAAGAAGTACCTTAGGAACAGGACAAGAAAATTTGGTTTTCAGCCCTGGGTTTCACTGGAATTGATTACATTTCTTCACATTTCTCTTATTGAGCTCTTCCACAATATGACTCCTGAACTTGAAATGTAAATGTTTAGCAAAAAATGATAATTTTACGAGTTGTAGTTAAGATTTCAGATGCTGTGCTGATTATGAATTGGGTTCAGCTCAAATGGTGAAAGTATGGAATGTGTTTAGTCAGAGTACACACCACTTGAACAAGTGAATTTGCAGAATAATTGGCCATTGAGCCCCTTGACTTTGCTCCGCTATTCAGTAAGATCAGGGCTGATCCAATTGCACTTTACTGCTTATCTCCAATTACTTGTGACTCCCTGGTGAGTTCAGACTCTATCTAGCTCAGTCTTAAAAATATTCAATGATCCAGTGTCCGAGTGATGTGTTATAAAGCAGAGGTTGATCCACTTCTGAGAACTAAAACCAAAATACCCAAAGAGGAGCATATAATCTGTTAAAAAGGATGGTGAAAAGTGGTGTCACATGCTTCTCAGCAACTTCTAGTGGTTAAATAAAACAAATCCCTGACACTCACTTTACAATCAACAAGTAACAGCTTATTTATCTAATTCTCACAGTGAACAAACTAACTAAATTATTAACAAACTGAATAAACCCCTTCTAAGTACTAACTATTACCAAATAAAACAAGATTCTAATGGTATGCTATTCCAATAAATAAAAGTCCACTTATATTTTAAAAAATTACAGCCAGATTACATGTCTTCCACAATGCTTTGTGCCTTCTCTGTCGAATGTTCTGTCAGGAATATTACCAAGTTGTGCTGCAGGTACCTTCAATTTAGGTGGTGCTTTCTCTAAAACCTAGAGAAAACTGTGAGAGCCAGTGATTCTCTTTTGTGAGCTGAGAGCTGTTAACTCCCCTGATTTTCCAACTGCCCTCTCCTTTTATACCCTTGATGACATATCAGTTTCTTACACTAGGATTGGTCCTATCTTGTCAAAACCATCAGATTTAAATTTAATTGGTTTTTGGTCTCTAGGTGCCTGATTCAAATTGATTGGCTAAATTCAATACTTGTTGTCTTGACAACAAAACTGCCGCTTGGCTGCTAACTGTACGACCTTTTGAAACAAATGTTCCTATTCAGGTGCTCTCTGTGCATCTGCAAACCCGCAAACTGCTGCCCACAGACATCCTTTTTGAATCTCTAAGCATAGAAGAAACACAGTCTTTTCGAGGGACTGCTTTCCCCCCTAGCGTTTTACAAACACCAAAACTTTACAAGTACCAAATTCTAATGTCCTGCCTCCCAGTCCACAAATACTCCACCCAACTTCACACTGTCAACCCTCTGTGGAAAAAAAGTCTCCTCATTTCCGGCTTAAATCTTTTAAACACTGCCTCTCAGTAATCAAAAGCTTAGAAAAAGAGGTATGTGTCAAGGAGCAAGGGGGAGGAAGGTGGAGAGGTTTTGGGGAGAGAATTCCAGAGAGTGGGGTCCCAGACAGGTGAAGGCATAGTCACTGATGATAGATTAAAATGGGGATGCTCAAGAGACTAGAATTAGAGTAGAACGGAGATCGCGGTTTGGTGGGGAAGTGGGTTTTACGGCTGGGGGTAATTTAAGAGATAGGAAGGCTGAAGGCCTAGAGGGATTTGGGGTTCAGCAGTAAAGAGGGTGATAGGGTAACAAGATGGCACAAGTTGGTCTGCAGACAGGAGAGTTTTGACCTGAAGCTGCAGGAGGGGAGGCTGAGGTGTCTTGTAGAGTCAAGATGCTGTTCCATTTATGTTTTAACTGTTCCCAAGATACAAATAACTCATTCCAGAACAAGTAAATTACTTAATTCCTACATCCAGACTGTTTATTTCTGGTTACTGATAAATCATTGGATGAGCTGTGCTGTAACTGCAATACTGCTGGACGCCAGAGAGTGGTGCTGTTGTACAATAGATGAAAACCAAAGAACTGTAAATTAGAAAAAAAACAAAAGTTGCTGGAAAAGTTCAGCAGGTCTGGCAGCATCTGTGAAGAGAAAATCAGAGTTAACATTTCGGGTCTGGTGAGCCTTCACAGATGCTGACAGACCTGCTGAGCTTTTCCAGCAACTTCTGTTTTTGTTCCTGTTATGTAATAGACTGACCTACCAAATAAATATAGAGATAACAAGGTGTAGAGCTGGATGAACACAGCAGGCCAAGCAGCATCAGAGGAGCAGGAAAGCTGATGTTTCAGGTCTGGACCCTTCTTCAGAAATAAATAACCAAATAAATATCTACCAAATAAATATCTTGCCTTTCACAGTCTCAGCCCAAATCAACAAGTTGTATTTAGCATTATAAAA